TATAAACTTACTGGTAGTTCAATGGGAAGTGTGGGCCTGCTTTTGGCTGATGAGATAGTCAAGTTAATTGGGATGGTTGTTGTGTGCCTTCAAGTTGTTTCAGACTTGGGACAACCCTAAGTTTAAAGATTAGGGTGGGGGCCAGGTAAATGAAATTGAAGGGCTGTATCTGGCCCCGCGAGCCTTAGCTTGGGGACCCCTGATATAAGGTATCCAGGCAAAATGATGGGGGAGGACAGAGAGCTTATTTTCAGAATCATCCAGTTAATGTAGTCACTTTCCAAGCTCTGGAAACAATTCAAGTACAGAGCCATCACCTTACAACTGGCTGCTGCAGAATACACACAAACAGGACCATTCGCACAACACTTCCAAGTAAGCCAAATAAGTGAAGAAGACTTAAGGGTAATCCTGATTGTTGTGCACTGGATGGAGAGTGTTAAATCTTTCACTCTCAATACACTGGTGGTGGTGATTAAATCTTATTGGGGAGTATGTGTACTGCTCAGGAGACTGCTGTGAGACAGAGCGGAGAACCTTGCAGGTGCATTAAATCTGCAGGCCATATGATCTCCATCTTTGTGTCACAGTAAATTGAGAAATCTATTAAGGACAGCAAAAGCTATTCACTTGCAATCCCACCATCCCTCCTCCATCACTTCAACTGTTGCTATATTGTCTCCCATCTGTACCATGCAGACTACTATGTAACTCACTTTATTTATTACAGTTTTGAACATTATAGCAGGGATAAATAAGCCTGAAGAAATAGCTTTTATCGTTTTGTTGAGGCAAGTGTGGGGTGTGTTCAGGGGTGGCTGAACCCATTACGCAAAGTAAGCATTTGCAGTATAGTTGATTTTGCCCAGGGGTGCTCTTGAGGCGCTCTTGGGGGGAAATAGACTTTGACATATGTGAGTTGTAGTTGCTGGGATGTATAGTTCACCTACAATCAAAGAGCATTCTGAACTCCAACAATGATGGAATTGGACCAAATATGGCACACAGAACTCCCACAACGAACAGAAAATATATATCAGTGATTGGTTGGGGGTGGGGCAAAATACTGTTCGCTTACCGTTGAAAATTACCTAGGGCCACCTCTGGGTGTGTTCTCTTCCCCTAACTGATTGGAAACATAAGAAATTCTATAGCATGGGCTGTTGTGTGTTTTCTGGGCTGTATGGCCATGGTCCAGAAGCATTCTCTCCTGACATTTCTCCTGCATCCATGGCAGGTCCACTTGTAACAACCACCATGTCAGGCTACACAGAGTAGCCACTGAAATCCACAAGCATGTGGGCAATTTTAACAGAAAGGAAGAAACCATGAAAATGAACAATATCTGGCTACCAGTATTAAAAAACTCTAAAATCATAACAGTAAATAAAGAACAACACTAAAAAACGGGAATTCCAGACAAGAAACACTCAGGGTCAACTAATCACCTCCCAACAAAGGATTTCCCCAGGCAGTAAGAAGCCAGACCTTGAAAACTGCTAGGCCATCAAATGCTAATCAAGGTGGCCAATTGAAACATCCAGACCTAACTCAAACAGACAAGAGTTCTTTCTCCCACCCTGGGCATTCCACAGATATAGAAACCCAATTTTTCCAGTTTCAAACAGACCTCACAACCTCTGAGGATGCCTGACATAGATACAGGCAAAATGTCAGTAGAGAATTGTCAGTGGAACATTATTATTATTATTATTATTATTATTATTATTATTATTATTATTATTATTTCCAATATTTCTACCCCATCCTTCTCAACCCCTGAAGGGGGACTCAGGACAGCTTACATTTGGCAACAGTTCAATGCTGTTACATATAACAAAGGCAATATAAACAACAATTAAAACAATAAATAGAGTATTGATTATAACAATAACAACATCGCCATCCAGCCCAGAAAGCACACAACAACCCAGTAATTCCAGCCATGCAAGCCTTCATCAATAGATATTCTATAGTTTGTTTCCCATAACAAGTTTGCCTGAGACCACTCCATCTTCACAACTCAACTCAATATTTGGATTTAATTTCTACATTAAGGGGGGGAGGGGTTTCTACCAAAAGATTTAAGAACAGAAAGCCTTCCTTTGTTCTTCCCTACCTCTCTACTGAACTTTGTTGTAGCAGCAGGCATTTACATAAAGACATAAATATTGTCACTCTTTTTTCCTTCCAAAAAATGTTTGCTGGAGAAAAAAAATCTCTTCTTGCCTCCACTCTACACCTGCCTTGAACAGATGGAGTCCTGTGCTGCTTTTTACACAAAGAAAGAATTGACTTGGTGCAAACAAACACAAGAGAAGCCCATGATCTGCAAAGTGCCACGCTGTTTGCAGAGATACCTGCTTATGCAAGATTTTTGTTCGATACAGCAAATTCACTGTTCAATTCTGCCATTTCTGTTTTTAGTAACAAATAAACAAACATAACCTAACTGCACACAGCCTTTTTCACAGCAAACTGCAAGAAAAACAAAACTCTCTGCCTACAAGAACTTTACAGTATAAAATTTGGTAGAGGGAGAGCAACAGAGAGAAAGAAGGAAGATAAGGGAGTGTAAATTGGAAGCATATGTATTCTTTGCGATTAGGTGCATTTTGGCATAGTTTGACAAGGCCTGGGGTGAGAATCACACAGCAGTCCAGATGCTGTTAGACTGCAATACCCAGCATCCTTTAGCACTGGCTAGGGCTATTATAGGTCAACAACATCTGGAAGGACATGATTCTCACCTGTGCACTGTCACAATAAAGATGTTGTCATAATAAAGATGCATTTTAAGAAAGGACTTAAGAAAAGCAATACCACATTCAGTTCTGTTGTAAAAGGTATTTAAAGATGGGAACTGGAATTTTAAGAACAGCTGGAGATATGACAGAAAACCCCTTGTGAATATCTCAAGATCACCCAGGAAGCTTAATGGTTAAAACTGAGGTTTGAATTCTGGCCTCCCTATTCCTAGTCTAAACCTCTAGCACAAGGGTGGGGAAATTGCGCATGAGGTGAGTGCTTCTTTCCTGGGCCTACTTTGCAGGCTGCACTACTGTATTTTGGCATGCCCAAAGTAACGTGCCGTGACTTCTGGACACTGTTTTGGATGATTCTCAGCAGATATTTTTCTTTTAGGGGGGCTTGGGAACTTTGAGGTATTAGTGGAACCAAATTACTGCATTTCTAGATGGTTCTGGGTGGTTTTGGATGGCTTGATAGCAACGTTATTAACGTCAGCACAAATGAACTTTAAAAAACAAGGAGCTAGGAAATGAGGAATCCCAAAGGCCATATGAAGGCAGTTAGCCACACTTTCCTTGTCTAATACATGGATGAAGAATGTGAGACTGCAACTCCCATCAGCCTTAGCCAGAACATTCAATGATGTGGAGTGGGGAGATGTAGTTCTACTGTATCTGATTGGTTACAAGTCATCTGCCACTGAAGCAGAGGATACTAGGTGTGTGTGGCTACAGAGAAGGCAAAATGAGGACATTGGTGTTTTCTCCAATAAAATTTTTGGTCAACAAATTTCTCGCATTGCAGAGTGAACCAATAGAAACTCTCTTATTTACACATTCCTTCAGTAATGCATTTCTTGTCCACATTTCCTTGATACATTTGCTTGTCCCTTTTCTTTGGATGCCTTCCAGCATTTTCTGTTGGTCATGGGAGTTCTGTGTGCCAAGTTTGGTTCAATTCCATCATTGGTGGAGTTCAGAATGGTCTTTGATTCAAACTACAAACTACAAGAAAGGAGATTCCATCTGAAAATTAGGAAGAACTTTGTGACTGTGAGAGGAGAGCCGTTCAGCAGTGGAACTCTCTGCCCCGGAGTGTGGTGGAGGCTGCTTCTTTGGAAGCTTTTAAACAGAGGCTGGATGGCCATCTATCAGGGGTGCTTTGAATGAAATATTCCTGCTTCTAGGCAGGGGGTTGGATTGGATGGCCCATGAGGTCTCTTCCAACTCTATGATTCTATTCTATTCTATTCTTAACTATTCTATTCTATTCTATTCTATTCTATTCTATTCTATTCTATTCTATTCTATTCTATTCTATTCTATTCTATTCTATGATTGTGGGTGAACTATAAACCCCAGCAACTACAACTCCCAAATGACAAAATAACCCCCCCCCCCCCAAATCCCACCAGTATTCAAATTTGAGCATATCGGGTATTTGTGCCAAATTTGGTCCAGTGAATGAAAATACATCCTGCATATCAGATATTTACATGCCGATTCATAACAGTAGCAAAATTACAGCTATGAAGTAGCCAGAAAAATAATGTTATAGTTGGGGGTCACCACAACATGAGGAACTGTTTTAAGGAGTTGCGGCATTAGGAAGGTTGAGAAACACCCAGTATGAAAAAATAGCAGAAATTGTACTTAGTACTTGGTGTGCAATCAGTCATGCAAGCTGTTTTATTTTTGTAGCAATCCAAACTGAAGAATTGAGTACTTGATTATACTTTGCTTTTTAAGGGGAGCCCATCACAAGGTTTTCTCTGCAAGGTTTGTTCAGAAGAGCTTTGCCTTCCTCTGAGTGACTTGCCCACAGTCACTTGGTGGATTTCATAACTGAAAGGGAATTGGAGCTCTAGAGTCCAGAGGTGAAACTTCTAGGCCTGGCTTGCTCAAGTTGAAAGAGACTATGAAAAAGTTTATTTTGGGTGGCAAAGGCTATCAGAATCAACCAACCAGATCCAGGTAGGCGATCCAAGTGGGTAGGAGATTTTGCTGCAAGCGAAAGGTCAGGAGAAAATACTGCTAGAACAGGCATGGGCAAACTTTGAGAGTTGAAGTCCCAAACGCCTGGAGGGCCAAAGTTTGCCCATGTCTGTGCTAGAACATGGGCCATACAGCCTGGAAAACACACAACACCCCAGTGATTCCATCCATGAAAGCCTTCCTGAAAACAATTCGATGAAAACAAAGCGCCCTCCTCCTCCTCCTCCTCCTCCTCTTCAAAGGCAGGCGAGGGGCGGAGGCGCCCTCGGAGCCTGCCTTCTTCCAGGCGGAGCCGTAAACTCTTGGCCGCTTCCCTCTGCCGAGTCACGCGCGTGGGAGGCTCGTGTCCCGTGGAAAGGAGCCCTCCCTCTCTCTCGCGCGCGCTTCTGCCGCTCCTCTGGGCAGAGTCTCCGTCCTGGGAGGGTCCGCACCTTTCCGGCGGCTCGGTTTGAAGCCCAGGAACCCAAACTGGGGGAACCTGGGCTTCCTGGTCGCCTCCTGGCCGAGAGGCGTGTCCCAGGAAGGGAAGTGGAAGGGAAGGCCGGCCTCCCTCCCTCCGTGGCTGCATCGCTGGCTGCAGGGCTTGTCTCTGAAGCGCCGGAGTGAGTGCTGCTGCTGCTGCTGCTTCTTCCCCTTGACTTCCTCCGCCTGCCAACCGCCCTCCCTCCTTTTCCTCTCGCTCTTTTGTGGCCCTTCGCGATCGCGTGGCCCTCCACGGCACTGAGCACTTCCTGCTTTTGGAAGGCCTCGGAAGAGCCACACACTCTCAGCCTCAGAGAGTCGCCATAAGTCGGAAGTGATTTGAAGGTGCACAACAACAAAGTAGCATTTTTTTTCTCGTGTCAGAAGCGACTTGAGAAACTGCAAGTCACTACTGGTGTGAGAGAATTGGCCGTCTGCAAGGACGTTGCCCGGATGTTTTGATGTTTTACCATCCTTGTGGGAGGCTTTTCTCATGTCTCCACATGGGGAGCTGGAGCTGACAGAGAGAGCTCATCCACGCTCTCCCCGGATTCGAACCTCTGACCTGTCGGTCTTCAGTCCTGCCGGCACAAGGGTTGAACCCAGGGGTCTTAACTTTCATTCGGAAACAGAGTGTTGACTGGGTTGTTGTAGGTTTTTTCGGGCTATATGGCCATGTTCTAGAGGCATTCTCTCCTGACGTTTCGCCTGTATCTGTGGCAAGCATCCTCAGAGCTCTGAGGATGCTTGCCACAGGTGCAGGTGAAACGTCAGGAGAGAATGCCTCTAGAACATGGCCATATAGCCCGAAAAACCTACAACAACCCAGTGATTCCGGCCATGAAAGCCTTCGACAATATGTCCCTCAGGCTGTTGGTGGGATGGACTATAGTTTTCTTTTTTTTTTAAAAAAAAAAAACAGATCAAATTCCTATGCACACTCAGCATATCTTATTTTGAAGTAAAAAACCAAAACAGGAACAAATACAATCTTTAACATGAAGAACCACTTTAAAAATTATACAATAACCAAGTTAGCAGAGAGATAAGCAGGCTTTAAATAAATCCAAATGTTACGAAGCAATGTTATGGAATCCTGGAGCTGCAGTTTGAACTTTTGGCAGAAAAGGCGAAACAGCTTATAAAATTTTAAATCCCAGGGTTCCATAGCATTAGGCCATGGCAAAGTGGTATCAAACTGCATTAATTCTGTAGTGTACATGCACTTTATTTTTCAGCGCTTTAGCTGCGCATCATCAGGTGGCCTCTCTTCATATACACCAGTGGTTCTCAGCCTTCCTAATGTCGCGACCCCTTAATACAGTTCCTCATGTTGTGGTGACCCCCAACCCTAAAATTATTTTCATTGCTATTTCACAACATATTTTGCTCCTTTTATGAATCGTAATGTAAATATCTGATATGCAGGACGTATTTTCATTGTTACAAACTGAACATAAAGCAGTGATTAATAAAAACAACAACATGTAATTATATATTGTTAAAGAGAGAGAGAGCATGAGGAGGAGACAGGAAGAATGAAAGGAGCTCTGCCTCCTTTTCAGTGGGCTGGATAAATGCCCTCAGTGGGCCACATGTGGCCCACGGGACGTAGTTTAAGGACCCCTGGTTTAACCATTAACCTCATTCAATACCATACTTTTGTTTCTCTGTCTTGCAACTTGCTCAGCTCAGGAAGGATCATAAGTCTAAGGGCCCTTCCATACAGCCCTCTGTCCCAGAATATCAAGGCAGAAAATCCCACAATATCTGCTTTGAACTGGGTTGTCTGTCCACATTCTGATAATGTGGGGTTTTCTGCCTTGATATTCTGGGATAGAGAGCTGTGTGGAAGGGCCCCTGCTTTTTTTTTTGTTCTCCCCAAAATGCAAAGTTATTTCCCCCCTTTTATTTCATTGATTTCCTACAAAGCCCAGAACAAAGCATCAGTTGTTTATGCTGCCCCATGACAGGACACCGGGGAGAGATAGTGAGCAGTGAGTCCTCTTCTACACAGCCATATAAAATCCAGATTATCTACGGGCCCGTCCACACAGCCATGGAATCCAGAATATCAGGGCAGAAAATTCCACAATATCTGCTTTGAAGTCGGTTTTCTGAGGGCCCTTCCACACAGCCCTATATCCCAGAATATCAAGGCAAAAAACCCACAATATCTGCTTTGAGCTGGGTTATCCGAGTCCACACTCAGATAATGTGGGATTTTCTGCCTTGATATTTTGGGATACAGAGCTGTGTGGAAGGGCCCTGAGTCCACAATTCTTTATATTCCAGTTCAAAGCAGGCATTGTGGGATTTTCTGCCTTGATATTCTGTGTTATATGGCTATGTGGAAGGGTATTACTTTGAACTGGATTATATGGCAGTGTAGACTCGGATAATCCAGTTCAAAGAAGATAATGTAGATTACCTGCTCTGATAATCTGGATTATTTGGCAGTGTAGAAGGGACCTGAGATATACAGGGATAAACAAGCACATTTGCAAGTGAAAAACTCAGGCTGGATCAACGCTGACCAGGATCTGATCCCAGATTATCTGGCAATGTAGATTTATATAATCCAGTTCAAAGCAGATAATCTGGGATCAGATTTTGGGATATAGGACATTGTAGATCCAACCTCAGTATTACCTTTTACTTGTTTTGAGGAGCAGGTGCAAACAGTATTCAGAGCATAGCCATTCTTGGCTTTACCTAATTAAACCCAACCATCAGAGGGCCTGTTCTGGGGCCAGAGGCGGCCCTAGGTAATTTTCAATGGTAAGCAAACAGTATTTTGGTGCCCTCCCCCCCCCCAACCAATCATTGATACATATTTTCTGTTTCTCGTGGGAGTTTGCCATATTTGGTTCAATTCCATCATTGGTGGAGTTCAGAATGCTCTTTGATTGTAGGTGAACTATACATCCCAGTAACTACAACTCGCATATGTCATGGTCTATTTTCCCCCAAGAGCGCCTCAAGAGCGCCCCTGGGCAAAATCAACAATACTGCAAATGCTTACTTTGCGTAATGGGTTGAGCCGCCCCTATCTGGGGCCCTTCCATACAGTCAAATAACCCAGAATATCAAGGCAGAAAATCCCACAATATCTGCTTTCAACTGGGTTATCTGAGTCCACACTGGTATATATTCCAATTCTAAAGCAGATTATGTGGGATTTTATTCAGCTGTGTGGAAGGGGCCCTGGAGTCTCCCATGTAATGTTTCCTTTGTCCCTCTGCCTTTGGAGGACCTTTTCTTTCCTCATCCTCCAAGAAAGTGATTTAACTTTTTTCTTAAGCCAGGGTAGAATTCCCTTTCTCACTCAACAGTTACAGCATTTTAATTCCACTTACACTGCCATCTTCCCATCCTCTGGAATACTGGGGTGCCTTCCACACAGCTGAATAAAATCCCACATTTTCTGCTTTGAGCTGGGTTATTTAGCAGTGTGGACTCAGATAATCCAGTTCAAAGCAGATCTTGTGGGATTTTCTTACTTGATATTCTGGATTATATAGCTTTTGGAAGAGCCCTGGGATTTGTAGTTTGGAAAGGCTTTAGAGCTGTGTGGCTGAATGGTAAATACAACATAATATTATGCATTCCAAGACTCCATAATGTGGAGTCATCTCAGTTCGAATGCTATAGCTGAGTACAAGCAGGCCCCTGGGTTAACAACCTCTGACTTGCAAATGATTCATATTTAAGAGAGGGTGAGACAACAGAAAGTGAGAGAAATCTGCCTCTCGAAAAGAGAGGAAAATTTGTCTTCACTTTCTCACCAGTCCTTGTTTCCAAATGAAGCCATTTTTCCCCCCCAAAATCCAATTATCACAGGGACAGAAAGGGAGGTGAAATCTTTTGAAGAGGGCCACAGGCAGCAAAACAAACACCACAGGGGTGTTAACCCTGTTTGCACTATCCCTTGCCCAGCCCTTTTAGATGAGGGATAGTAACAAGATTTTTTTAATACAAAGAATGAATATATTTTAATAAAACTTATATGAATTGTAGCATAGGTATTACATTCTTTATTACACATAATCATCATTCAGTTCAATACAGTTTGTCATCTGTGCGCCGAGTTTTTTGATGCCTGTCTCATAGAAGTCTCCCACTGCCCTTTTCAGCCAGTTCGTCACTTCGATTATCACCTCATCATCATCGGAAAAGTATTTTCCACCAAGATGTGAAAAGATGATAGTCACTGGGTGCAAGATTGGGGCTGTGAGAGCGTTGGCTTAAAACATCCCAACCAAATGAAGTCAACAACTCTTGTGTTGCATGAGTGGTGTGAGGACACTCATTGACATGAAGGAGACAGATTCCCACTGTCAGCGTCCCATGATCTTTGTTTTGGATGGCTCTGCTGGCCTAAGAAATTATGCATTGATTTTCTTACAGGCATGTATTTTCTTCCAGATGAAGTGTGTACTGATTACCAGTGAAGGTGCAGAAGTCCTTTTCTACTGGGCAGATCCAGATTTTTTGGCAACCCTGCAGCAGCGTTTTGGGGCTGATCATCCTAATGGTGATAAGGTAAGAACTGAACAAAGGGAAAGAGATCAGGGTTGACTTTGAGTATATGGATGCAGGGTCTGAATTACATGGGCACCATTGCGCTAAGCAAATAGATTGTGATTTTTTTTTGGATTGCAACGTGGTCAATTGAGATTCTAGAAACTGTAGCCCCAGAAAAACGTATGCTCACAAGCTTTGATATAGTACCAATGAAAAATGTTACAGTCCAGAAACAATCGTGTGAATTTTTTTTGTATAGTTGATGAATATGGGGTGGCAGAAAACTTTGGGAGTTGACTAACTGGCTGGTAGAGAATAATAATAATAATAATAATAATAATAATAATAATAATAATACTTTATTTATATTCTGCTCTTCTCACCCTGAAGGAGACTCAGGATGGATCATAGTACACATACACAGTAAACATTCAATGCTGTTTTTTGGACGGGACAAAGACAGAACAGAAAGGAGTTCTATTGTGCTGTGTTGACATCCAGTTGAACATCCAGCTTGTCGGCTTGGAAGTTGCCAGCCACAGGGGGAGTGCTATCACCCCATCCTCTATGACAAAGAGCCATCAGGACTTCCTCCTTCCTTTTGGTCACTGGCATTCTTTGATCTTTTTCTTTATGGTGTCGTAAATACTCCCCCCCCCCGCGCATTAGCAGTACCTAATTTTTCAAACTGCTTAGGTAAAGAGTGAGCAGGGCTGACAGTCAGGTGCTCATGCTGGCCTGAGGCTTCGAACTTGGCACCTTTTGGTTGGTAGATCTTATTATTGCTGGTGATTTACCAGCTGTGCTAAAGTCCCAGCCCCTGAGAACTGGGTTATGACCTGCCAATGGAAAGAGGCAAGGAGAAGGGAAAGAACAGGGTTGCTTTGGCTTTTTAATTATATTTGCCAAATAAAACTTTCACAAATAAAAAAACCAACCACATTTATTTACACTCACCAGTGGTAAACCTGCAGTCACTCTGTGGTTGTCCAATTTTAACCATGTGTACAGTGGAAAAGGGAGTGTGTGGGAAAAGATGCTTCTTCTGTAAACATGCTCATATTTGTTTCTCAGTCACTATTTTACTAGATTACATGAGCACATAAATACATTAGAAATCAGATTCTGGAAATCAAATTGCTAATATAATTGCTGGATGTGATGACTGGAAGCTAAAAGTCATCACAAATTGCAAAAAAAATAATGAAATTTTCCATGTCATCTAGAAGAAAATGTGCATTCTTTTGTGTTGATGAATGGAAAGGGATGAGTCTCAGAAATAAGTTAAAACAGAGGCTTTTTGACTAGAGATAACTTTGCAATTGCTCCACTCCTATTTTCTTTTCTTCACAGCCCCCTGCCGTGGAGGACAGCATCAACACATTGTTTGCCCCCATGATCATCTCATACGCAACAATGCTAGAAAAGCTTGGTGATTCGTACACTTGCTTCTCTGCTGAAAATGGCAAACATCTCTACGTCCTACACATGGTAATTCCTCATTGCCTGGGGATTCCCAATGAGGGAAGTGTGGTAGTAGTTCCCTAGTAGGTCACATGTCTTAGCATGGATCTAGCATGGCTTGTTTTTGATCCAACATCTCTAATCATTCACCAACAGGCTGATGGGAATTACAAAAGACTGGTGTGCTATAGATTTCTTTCACTTCTTATGTCACCCCGTTTTTAGCTATGAGGCTTGTGTAAGTCAGTTGTTTGTAACTTGGGAACTGCCTGTATTGGAGTAAAGGGTTTATTTGTTGAAATGTGTCCCTCCCGAAACTATGAATAATAATAATAATAATAATAATAATAATAATAATAATAATAATAATATATTCTGCTTTATCTCTCTGGAAGGACTCAGAGAGGATTACAGTACACATATAAGGCAACCATTCAATGCCTTTTTACATGGGGAGTGACATACAATATGTTTTAATGTTTTCTAATCTGGTATTAAAATTTTAATTGAATGTTATTTAATTTTATATTGGATATATATTGTTTTTAAGGCATTGAATCATTGCCTATGCTGTAATTCGCCTTGAGTCCCCCTTGGGGTCAAGAAAAACAGGATAAAAATATAGTAAATAAATCAATAAAATGCAGTACACTGGTAAGGTAAACGCCTTCCCCTTTTTCCATCTCCGACGACTGGAGGAGATTTTCAACTTCCGGCCATGGGGAGGTGCTCTTGTTCCATTTTCTATGCCGAAGAAGCCTGCTGTCCATAGACATCTCTGATCTTTTTGACGGCATGTCTGCATGGAATGCCCTTTTACCTTCCCACCAAGGCACTACCTATTGATCTACTCACATTGCATGCTTTCGAACTGCTAGGTAGGCAGAAGCTAGGACTGACAATTGGGAGCTCACACCAACTTGCGGCTTTGAACGGTTGACTCTCCAGTCAACCTTTCCTGCAGCTAGCGGCTTTAACAGCTGTGCTACCACAGCCCCAACAAATAACTTTAGTCAAACATGTTTTTGAAGACTTAAACTAGGGATGTTCGAAATGTGGACAGAGTCCACACCGTCCTACCATAGAAACACCAAAACACCCCCACCTCACACACACACACACACTCGTGGACATTCAAGCCTGGAGAAGAGCAAAAGGATTGCAGAAGTGTCTCTGTAAACCAGGTGCAAAATAATAACTTCAGCCACTGAGACGTCCGGAAGACCTCAGTAGTTGATGTAACTGCTTCACTTCTGGCTGTGGGAGCATCCTACAATTTCTCTCTCTCTCCCGACACAAATGGCCATGATTTGTAGGCTTCAGTAGCTGTATTGGAGATCCATGGCTCAATGTAAAATAGTTCTGCCTGTTGAACTATGCTATGCTGAATCATACAATATTATAGCCAATGGCTGAAAATATGCCTAAATTGCTATGGCAACCTCCATGTTTTGGAAGTGCTCTTTTTACTGGGAGGCAATTTTTAATTATTAAAGCTGCTTAAATTTAGAGTAGTCTCAGAGGGTGGCAGAAGTAGGGATGAGCCTCAGGGGTGTCTCCCAATTTCGGTGGTTGCCTGCCCCTTGGCCTCAAGGATAAATATAAATTCATCAAATAAGTAAATAAATATCTTGGCTGACTGAGGTATGACTAAGCTAGTCTTGTTTCCCTGCTAAAAATGGCAAACATTTGAAAATGATTCTGAAGTCTTATTTCTCTGCTGAAAGTAGCAAAGAATTGAAAATATGGAAAAAGGAAATTATAGATTACCGTATATACTCGAGTATAAGCCAACCCAAATATAAGCCGAGGCACCTAATTTTACCACAAAACAATGGGAAAACTTATCGACTTGAGTATAAGCCGAAGTTGGGAAATGCAGCAGCTACTGGTAAATTTGAAAATAAAAATAGATGCCAATAAAATTACATTAATTGAGGCATCAATAGGTCAAATGTTTTTGAATATTTACCATATTTCAAAGAAAAACAGTAAACTAGCTCTGTAAGTGGAAAAGTAGAGTCAACAAAAACAATATGGTATCAACAATAATTTTATAAAAATAGTAATAATAGAACTTCATTTGTATCCTCCCCTGTCTCCCCATGGGGATTTAGGCCAGCTTCCAGCATAGTAAGAGGCAAACATTCAATGCCTTTATTAACAATGCAGAGCTAGATATGGATCTATAATTATATATACTAATTTCACATATGCATTTCCCCCTGAAACATTTGCAAATCCTCTCTCCCTATATGTGCATTTCCCCTGTAATATTTGCAAACCCTTGTATATCTATATTCCCATATATCTATCTAGATATCTCTCTATATATAGATCATTATATCTATATAATTTGCAAAGACTTCCAAAAATGTGAGGAGGAAATTCATATACAAAATAATGTATACATATAGATAAAGATATACAGATACATGGAAATCTCAAGATATCTATATGTATATAGGATTTGCAAAGACCTGCAAACATATGAGAGGAAAACTTCCAAGGGAACAAAAATGTGCATATAAAGTTAATACATTTAGATTCACACACACCCACACAAAGCCAGGAAACTGGGTGGGTTTGCAGGAGAGCCATACAAAAAAGGAGGACATGAAATATATCTCCTTTCCCTCCTTCCCTCCCTTTTGACTGGAAAAGAAAACACACTGTCAAGGAAGGTGAAGAGGTGAGAGAAATATATCATATATTGCAAATAATGGCCTCCAAGGTTTCACTGCTGTCCGCACAGTCTTGATACCATTATAAGCCGAGAGAGACTTTTTCAGCTCAAAAGAAGGGCTGAACAACTCGGCTAATCTTCGAGTATATTTGGTATTTCAAATCCCATTGAATGAATGACTTGTGCTGGGCTTTACCATAGAGTTACTCTGGAAGACCTATACAATTCCTAGAGATATTTTGAATGGGCCATTCTACTCCAGCTTTTTGCCTGGAGCAGGCCAGTGGCTTTATCAAATCACTAGTCAGCTATATTTAACTTAATAGCTCATGTTGCACAGGGTGCATCTACACTGTAGAATTAATGCAGCATGACATCACTTTAACTACCATGGCAAAGCTGGTTGGTTCCTCACCAAATTACAAATCCCAGGATCTCATAATATTGAGCCATTGCAGTTAAAGTGGTATCGAGCTGCATTAATTCTAGATGCATCCACAGATCTTGAAATTCATCATATTTTTTGAGCACACCACAATATTTTGATACAATGGCATTATTCTCTTTTGTTTATTCAACAGTTTGGTGAGTGCCTGTACATTGCGCTGAATGGCGATGGCTCTGAAAGCGAAGATGACTTGCGTCGGAAGCTATTTGTGCTCAGAAGACTCACTGAGGCTCACTTTGGACTGGTCACACTTGACAGCCATCTCTTCCGCAGGGAGTAAGTGGTCAAGRCAAARGGGGTTGTGATTCTTAATTTTCTTATKGTGTTMATTRTTTTTTTCATKCTATCTCACACCGRRATRTTTTGTTCACAGCAGTGGGGYCAGTTTTCCACAAAATTTCCTTGAGTTCCACTATTGCTAATGCCCTTTTACAAAKGCTAAAGCCCTTTTTAYATCAAKTGACRTGAGAATAACTTATTTTGAGACTATTCTGTAGAGCCGCGCGTGTGTGTGWGAGAGAAAATAAYACAGAATTCCYGAGAGRTGCTGATCATGTATATCTTTCYCACCTTGTAACATARTCTGRTGACTGGATGGATAGGATCCCTGCAAGAATTCTACCTATGTTGGTGTAGCATATTCCTACATYTTAGGAATATAGYTCTASTCAGTATTGACATCTTCTTGGCTGCCTTAGCAAAGATTCCATGGWTAAATTAAACCCAATGAGAGGTTATGYAAACACTTCCTTYCATCAGGGGYRGCTGAAGCAATAGGCAAGATAYGYATTTGYRTATAGYRCGAATCCCCGAGGGGCGCTCTYSGGGGGCACCTCAAGAGTGCCCCTCGGGGATTMACGCTATRCKCARATGYRTATCTTGSCTATTKCTTCWGCCRCCCCTGYCTTCCATTCTAAGAAATTGARTCAGAGGCTAAGTCAAGCTSAAAGTTTGAGCCTGAGGAAGGAGTTYTGCATGTGACARAAGGGAAAATCATCTTCCTGKRGGGCCCTGGGCTGCRCTTTGCTGATCTGTGGKCTTATTTTTCATAGGCTTCGYCCAATAGATTCTGAGCAACGTGCTCACATCTGGGGACTGCTTCAGAGTCTGCTGGAAACCTATACCCAGCTACGCCAGGATGACCAGAGCTTTGCTGTAGAGGTAAAGTTGGGAGGTCTGTTAGAATGGAGGTTGGCATCATTCTAGTAGACAGTCAAGGGTGAAGATAGGAAGCCAGGAACATCAAATGTTGGCCTCAAAAATGGGCATAGCTATAGAGTGGAATTGGACAGTCTCCTTTAGCCAGTCAGAACTAAGGTGGTGTGGTGGTGTCCTTACTTTGGGTGATGGGATAGTTATGGAAGAAGTTTTCTGCTTGTTTCTCAAGAGGAGCTTCCTCTGCAAAGAGATGTGCATAGGATGGGATACAGTGTGCTGTACGGTCTGTCTTTCTGGTCTTCCAGGCTGTGGAGCGACTCATCCATCCGCAGCTCTGTGAACAGTGTATTGAGTTCCTGGAGCGCCAAGTTGTGCAGTACATCAACAGTGGCCCAGAACGAGCTGGGCATGAACTAGTCCATGCTTTCCTGCTTGTGCACACCAAACTACTTGCTTTTTACTCCAGGTAAAACTGTTCTTGTCCTTCCCTCATGCCATTACCTATTACTCTTGTCAGTCAAATATTCCCTGTTTTATATAATACCATCTTGTTTGATATTTATTTATTTGTTATATTTGTACCCCACCTTCTCACCCCAAAGGGCTCACATATATATTGACAACAATTCGACGGCATACAACATACAACAGCAAATAAACTTATACATTAAAAAGCAACCACTAAAAACTTATCAAACATTAAAATCATTTTAAAACCACGCAATCCAATAGTCCAAGGTCATTTCAGTTATCATTGCATCAGATTTTTATCCAAAAGCTTGTTCCCACGTCCTTGTTTTTAGCTTTTTTCCTGAAAGTCAGGAGGGAGGGGCTGATCTGATTTCATTGGGGAGGGAGTTCCATAGCTGAGGGCCCACCACTGAGAAGCCCTTATTTCTCATCCTCACTAACTGCACCTGTGAAGGAGGCGGGACCAAGAGCAGGGCCTCCCCAGACAATCTTAACTTCCAAGATGGTTCATAGAGGGAGATATGTTTGGACAGATAAGCTGGGCCGGAACTGTTTAGGGCTTTATAGGCTAAAGCCAGCACTTTGAATTGTGCTCTGTAGCAGACTGGCAGCCAGCAGAGTTGACGTAACAGGGGGTTGTATGTTCCCTGTACATTGCTCCAGTTAGAAATCTGGCTGCTGCCCATTGGACTGCTTGAAGCTTCCGACCAGTCTTCAAGGGCAACCCCACGTACTCCCTGTCTTTCATTCAGTTCCAGCCTGATTATTCTTGATTTCCAGTTCTCCCTCAGGAGTGGGCAGCTTCCAGGGCTCTACACTGGGACCTATGGACCCACTGAGGACTGTGCTGCCACCTCTCTATAGCACCTTTCTGTGTTGAAAAGGAGGGTTCCAGTATGTGTCTAGTTAGTGTGCAGGGTGAGCTTTGTCCTCCTAGACAGGAAGGAAATATGGACTTTGCTGTGTTTCTTGTAGTACCTTTATCTGTTTGCAATTACAGGTTGAATCTCTCATCTACGGAATTTGAAATTGTCCACATGGGTTGCAGAGATATGACACCTTTACTTTCTGAAGATTCGTATATACAAACTTTGCTCCATGCACTAAAAAAACCCCCAAAAACAAAACCCTAACCCCAAAACACTTCTTATCCCAACCGTTTTGGATAAGGAATCCTCAGCCTATACTGCAGATGAGGGGAACTTGGCATCCACAAAAATAGCTAGGAGGCACATGCCAGTCTCTGTGTTTCAAACACATGTTATTTTCTCTAGATTATATCCTCTTCCCAGCACCCCAAAATTACTGCCAAAGTTGCTAGCTTTTGTGCAGCAGCAATAGCTTGTCAGCACAAGATGTTGTCACAGTCTTAGAAGGTTTTAATATTTATTTCCGTATTTACCAGTGTCATCTTAGTATATAAATGTTTAATACCATTTTAACTATCACATTCAATACCAGGTTTTAACTTTGCTATTAACAGTGTTTCTTAATACCTAAATGTATGTCATGTTCCCATTCTGATGTTTGTTCATTTTTTGGTGATGGTCATCAACCATAATAAGTGTGTGTGTGTGTGTGTTTGCGCTCTTCCCAGCATGTGGTACCCTAACAGATGGCATTCTTTTCCCCTTTTGCACTCTTACATAGCCGTAATGCCAGCTCTCTGCGGCCTGCTGATTTGCTCACTCTTATCCTGGTTGTACAGGATCTGTATCCCAGCACTGCCTCTGAAGAACAGCCTAACCTCCAGGTATCTGTCTGTAGGAGGGAGGGGACAGAATTGGACTGTTTTTATTCTGATTTTTTTCTGAAAGGAAAAGATTCCCCCCCCCTCGCCTTTTATCTATTTAAGGTCACTTGCTACTTTAGAAGCATGACATCCTTTATACACAGTTTGGCATAAAATTAACCACTGGAATCCTATATATCCATTGCATACTATACAGCACTGTAATGATGGTTGCTTTTGTAGTGAATTCCAGCATGATTCTCACAAACTCCAGCATGATTCCCATAAGAAAGAACCAATGGGATTGATAAGGGTCCATTCCCATGTGATTGAGAGGCAGAAGCCTGACATTCCTTACTTCCTCCTTTAAGTAATCTTCAGGATGACACAAAGAGAAAAGATCCCTGTTGTGAATTCGTTCTGTACAGAAGATTGCTTGCACAAGGGGTGGGTGGGAATATCAGAAAGCTGCTTTTTGGTTGATAGGGGAATGGATTTCTGTGGATTGCAGCAGCTGCTAACCAGTAAATGGGGTGTAGGGGTTTTTCATGGTCCCTGTTGTCATGTGCCTTTGAGTCATTTCCGTCTTAGGGCAACCATAAAGCAAACCTCTAATGGCATTTTCTTGACAATACTACTTCAGAGTAGGTTTATCTTTGTCTTTCTTTGAGGCTGAGAGGGTGGGATTTTCCCAGTGTCGCCCAGTCAGTTTCCATGACTGAGGGGAGATTTGAACGCTGGTCTCAAGTATTGTAATCAATGCTTATTACTCCACACTGTATAGACAGTTTCTGTGTATGATTATGAAAAGTAGACAGTGAAGAAAAGTCATAAGAAGAGAATCAACTCATCTGAAATCTTGGGTTGTCTAAAAGTTCTATGGATTCCATGGATAGTTATGACAACTAAATGGGTCCTAGAGCAAATTAAGCCTGAAATCTCCCTCAATGCCGACTAAACTGAGACTGTAGTACTTTACCCATGTCATGAGAAGGCGTGACCTACTAGAACAGATAATGATGTTAAGTAAAGTAGAATACAGAAAATAGTAGGAAAGAGGAAGTCCGCATTACAGATGGCAGTCATAAACCCGAGTCTGCTGTTTTGGCGATCTCTCATTCATAGGGTTGCCATAAGTCAAAGTTGACAGCAGTTAACAAAACTATAGGCAATTGGTGGTTTAAGAGGAAACTCATAGCAAGTGTCAAAGAGTTCTGCAAACTATCCAGCATACTTGTGATGATGCTGGTTCTCACTTGCTCAGGTTGCAGAAGGGGAGTCAAGTCTTCAGAGGCCCTTTGGCAGTGAGAGTATCCCAGTGAACAGCCCTAGTTCCTCTGGATATTCAGAAGAACAGGTGAGCATAAACTGGGCTCAAGTATTGCTGTCTAAGCTTGGGTTGGGATCTATGGTATCTGGATGTGAGTTGTGGGATGGGCATTGGATGAACTGAGTAAAGGGTAGAGTAGGATGTTATAGTGGGGAACACGACAAGTGATATAGACTCCATCTTTTTACCAGGACTGGTCAGTCCCATCATTATACCACTGGAACTTGTGACAGAACCTATTCTGAAAGATGGGGAGCGGGAGATTGATTGGGCTCTTGCTGAGTCAGTTCCCTTCCACACCCCCTTGCATCCTTCCTCAGGTAGCAGATGATGTCTCTATGCCCGAGGAATTCTACACCCCTAAGGCTTCCCCTAGCGAACAGAGCACTGGTGAGTTTGGGATCGGAAGGGGAGACCCTGATGACACCCGCTCCTGTGGGCATAGGGATGGCTTTAGGAGTGGGATGCCTTGCATACCATTTGGTTCTAGTTATGATTGTTGCATGGAAATGCAATTCCTATTCAACAAAGAGTGGGAGAGAGGCATATGAATATGGCCAAAAAGTGGTCCCTGCCAGGGACCTGGGGTTACATATGAATGTTTTATCAACAAATAAGTGCCTATGTCACAGCAGTGGCCCATCTATGACTTGGTCCTGTCATATCACTTGTTTCTTCACATTCCTGGTGCTGGTGTATTTGATCCCTCTTCTCTCTCTTGCCTGAAGGAAGTGCTGTCTGGGTTGAGGGTGCAGAATTTCAGGCTGAGGGGCAATCAAATTCTTCTGACATCCAGGTAAGTGCCTTCAATCTTTTTTTGTTGGGTTCCCTGTTCTGCCTGAACTTTTGTCACTTTAGCAGTAACTGCCCCTGAAACCAGATTGCATTGAGAACAAAGCTATGTTCTTCCCCATAGCTTTGTGTGACCAGCACATAAGCAATGATAGGCTAATACTTATATGGAGTTTTCAAATTGGAGAAATGAATGAAAATGCTTCTTCAAAAATATGCAAATTGTCTTGTCAACAAAGGCTGGAATCCGGATCTGTTCCACCATGGGCCAGATGAACAGCCAGACTAGGATTGAGGGTGAAGCAATGGGGGTTCGCACAATAAGCCTTCCCATTTCATATGATTGGGACAAGATTTCTGCAACTATTGTATCCATAGGGCAGAGAAGGTGAACTATTTTCCACACATTTTTTTCTGGTCAAAATTAGTTTTGAGAAAAGTTTAAATATATGCAACATTTTAAACTTACTTTGTATCTTGGACAATATAAAATATTTTATTCAGAACTTATTTACCATATAAAATTGTATTTTGGCGTATTTTTGAAATTTTAAAATAGAAAAGGATTCGTTTTGCACAAACAGAAGTATAAGAACCTTTTGCTAAAGAGAAAAGTTGCAAACTGTTTCATCCTGCATTGCATAAGCACATGGATCTTAATTTTGCTCAGTAAGGAGAAATTGAAAGAGAAATCATATATTTTGTAATAAAATAAAGCGTATTTTTAGATGGAAACCACCTCAAACATACATAATCTTAAAGGATAGGCTGGAGGCATATCTGGATATAGTTTTACTCAATTCTGAAAATAGAGAATCCTTCATTAGTGTATTATTGCAAGCGGTGAAAGATTGCTCGGTGCTCCCCTCATGAAAATGGCAGCACACACTTGGACCAGGAATGCAACTTGGATCAGTGTTGTATATGTCTACAGTAAGCACAAAAGTTATTGTTCCCAAATTCTGTAGACTGTCGAATACACTGATCTTCACAATATGCAGTTTTTAGCATTTTCAGCTGACCAATTCCTGTTTTGAAAAGCATTTTCCAATTTTTAGTTGGTGTTTCCAAAATTTCCAGTTTTTCCAATTGATATTTTGTCAGGTGGGAAAACTTTTCCCAGTTTTTTTAATGTCTGTTTTTCAAGTACAGCAATGTACTGGCCTGGATTTTATGTTTCTGCTATTTTTCTTCCTTTCTATGAAACTCTAGCTATCACTGACATCTTTTTTTCTCAGAGCCTTTATTACATTGCTAACACATCATTTTGGGCATCTTCATGACTTGTTATAAATCACCACTAAAGCAATGACAGTCAGGTGAACATCCCTTGTATTTTATTTACTTGTTGGTGACCCTGAATCTCAAAAGAAGAGAGAAAGACAGAAAGAAGAGAGAAAGACAGAAAGAAGAGAGAAAGACAGAAAAGGTCTCTAGAGATTCCTTTGCAGGAGAAGATTAAGAATGGAATACATCTCTGGCAGCTTTCTTGCCCACCTTGAAAAACTGTAACATCCCCGTGTATTTAGGGGATTCCCAGCAACAGAGTGCAACATATAGTGGAAACCAGTTGTCTAACTGTGCTTGGGAGTCAGACATGGTGGTCAAGAAGGGAGGGTCCTGTTGCTTCCTTTCTTTCAACTTGGGATCTGAGGCACAGACACTAATTGGGCATTGAGGGTACATGTCTTATGCTGCATGTCTTTTGAGCCTAATTCTCTCCTTCAGCCAAATGGTGATCTCCTAAAAGGATTGGGGGGGAACAGCACCCTCCTGCACATGTCCCTCAGCAGCTAGAATATTGAGGCCCTTTCTACACTGCCATATAATCCAGATTATCAAATCAGATAATCCAAATTATCTTCTTTGAACTGGATTATCTGAGTCTACACTACCATATAATCCAGTTCAAAACAGATTATCTGGATTTGCTATGGGAGTGTAGAAAGGGCCCGAGTTAATAATAATGCCCATTTAGCTCCCCATAGTGATAATATATTGCCTTCATGCCAGTGGCTATTGAGGTTTGTCTAAAAAGAATACAGAGGAGAAGGGAATGTCAGAAAGACAAAGGGAGTAAAAGCAGGGAGTGTCAGATTTTATGGACCACATTTTTGTACTGATTTGGAGGCCATTTTAAGCCTAGCGAACTGTTTTTAAATGTATATTTATTATCCTTTTATGTAATTGTGTATTTTATTGGTGTTTTTATATTTTTGGAAGCTGCCCTGAGTCCCTCTTCAGAGGTCGAGACTAGGACGGGATACTAATGTTCTAAATAAATAAATAATATTTATTTATGGTATTTCTATCACGTCTCTTCTCAACCGCCGAAAGGGGGTTTCAGGATGGCTTACATTTAGTAACGACACGATGCCACTACATAAAATTACAATAGTAGGTTACAATTAAAATACATACAGCAATCATTAAAAACAGTGAATACAATATTAATTAAAACTATAAAACAGTATCGCAATATCAACAGCCGTGACGTCATTCCAGTTGATACCCAGCTAAAGTGCTCCTTATGTCTGTTGTCCGAAAGCCTGGTCCCAAAACCACAATTTTAATTTCTCCCTAAAGGCCAGGAGGGATGGGGTCGATCTTATCTCATTTGGGAGTGCGTTCCATAGGCGGGGGGCCACAGCCGAGAAGGCCTAGTACCTCATCCCCGCCAGATGCATTTGCAATGTTGACGGAAGCGAGAGCAGGGCCTCTCTGGATGATCTTAGATTACGAGGTGGGACGTAGAGGCAGATGCATTCGGACAAGTAAGCTGGGTCAGAACCATATATAATAGAGAGAAGATAGTGTTTCCTTGCCCACTACCAGCCCCAGAAGGAAGGCAGGCAGCCCTTGACATTAAAGTAATTTACCAATTCTGTAGTTCAAATAAGCACAGAATTGGTGGGGTTTTAAAAACATTTTCTTACATTGCCAGTAGGTGGCGCTGTTGTTTTACTTTGCTATTGGGAAAGCTTTTGTTTGAACACATAGTTGCTTGGAAAGGAAATCTTTAAATTTCTGGAAAAGTAGAGACCTTGGAAAGTGCATTCAAATATGTTTTAACCAGATGCTGGATCTATGACATCTTGGTCCTCTCTCTGTCTGTCTAGATGGCCGAGGATTCGCTGCAGGCTCTGGTGCCTCCCACGCTAGAAGCTAACAATCCACGGAGAATTTTCCTGGATGCCAACCTGAAGGAAGGCTACTGCCCCATGATGCCCCACACAATGCACTGTCTTTCCCTCTGGCCAGGGATCTCACTGGTGCTCCTCACTAAGGTTAGCTGGGCTGCATTGAACTCCATTTGGTAAACACTCAACCTGGGCCTTACTGAGTGTTGTCTTTTCTCTCCAGGGTCCCAGTTCCCACGTGGCACTGTCCCTTTACCAGTTGCTAGATGGACTTCTGGTGATGGAGAAGAAACTGAAAGAGGGCCTGGAGCCCAAGCAGCCTTTGCGCTCTCAGCCCCTCATGCTGAAACTCCGAGATCGGATGGACAAATTTGTCAAGAAATTGGGTGGGCAGGAGCCACAGGTGAGAATGTGGCCTCTTGTCTGCATGGGAATGGGTTAGGCAAGAGCTGAATTGGCTATTCTGCCCAAATGACTTTGGGATGTGAAGTCTGCAAACATCTCATTTCCAAGTTGTCAACAAGTGTGGTTCTTTCACAATACACTGCTATTCAGAGAAGAGGATCTGAGTGATATCCTGTTAGATGTAAAAGCTCATGCCCATTGGGAGTGGGGTATTGGTGATTTTAGGCTGAGCAGGCATGAATGTGGAAAGAATTCCCAATGACTGGTGTAGGAAGGATGAATGAGAGCAGGAACTGCAAAGAAGAGTAATTATGCTGTATTTCAAGAATGGCATTTTTCTTTGCAGCACCTGCAAAGAAAGGAAATAATTGGGTTGTTGTGAGTTTTCCGGGCTGTATGACCATGTTCCAGAAGCATTCTCTCCTGACATTTTGCCTGCATCTATGGCAGGCATCCTCAGAGGTTGTGAGGTTGGTTGGAAACTAGGAAAATTGGGTTTATATATCTGTGGAATGTCCAGGGTGTCTGTTTGAGGTAGGTGTAAATGTTCTCAATTGGCAACCATGATTAGCATCTAATGGCCTAGCAGTTTCAAGGTCTGGCTTCTTACTGCCTGGGGGGAATCATTTGTTGGGAGGTGATTAGCTGTCCCTGATTGTTTCTTGTCTGGAATTCCCCTGTTTTTGAGTATTGTATTTTATTTACTGTTACGATTTTAGAGCTTTTAAATACTGGTAGCCAGGTTTTGTTCATTTTCATTATTTATTCCTTTCTGTTCAAATTGCCCACATGCTTGTGGATTTCAGTGGCTTCTCTGTGTAGTCTGACATGGTGGTTGTTAGAGTGGTCCAGCATTTCTGTGTTCTCAATAACGATGTCTTATTGCCGAGTTCTCATCTTCACTATTTTTTCTCTCACAGTTGCAGAATGCCTGGCTCGATTTCAAGAACAAAGTTTTTCGTCCCAGTGAGTCTGGGAATCCCTGGGAGTGAGTATTGCCAGGCGTTAACTATTTGCCAGTGTGCATGTTCACACATTCAAATTGAACACAGCTCTGTGATTTTTCAAACTGAGTTGGTGACTACCATTAAGCAGAGGAACTGTATTCAGCACAATTCTTGGCAATGAAGACAACAGAATAGCAGGAAATATGTGTTAGAGTTTAAGAAAATGGAAAAGATTATGAAGGCAGTTTATTTGAATTGCACTTAAACCGACACTAATTGGATTTGAAGGAGCAGATGATTTCGACACTCACATTTTACAAACTCAAATGGCCCTTTCCATCCCGTAGAAGATACTTCAATATGCCCCTGGGCTGTTTTAAGCAGAGGAGGGATGTTTTCTCCAAAAATGAAGTAATAGAAAGTCACTTCTAGTCGTGGCAAATTTTGCCTAGGTGTAGTGCAGTGTGAGGGCAAAAAACATAGTGAAATTGGATTTTGCTCAAGTTGCAAATTAGATAGACTAGTGATGTTTTCGATATAAGACAACTTCCTATGCCGTTGAACCTTTTTTGTCAATTTTTCATGAGCAGGAAGGCTTTTTGTGGAGTACCATTCAAATGTCCTTTACTAATAGAAACAGAGTTGCAAGAGACCTCACAGGCCATCCATGGCCCAACCCCTGTCATGCAGGAAAAGCACAATCAGAGAATCCCTGGCAGATGGCCATCAGCTTCTGTTTAAAAGCCTCTAAAGAAGGAAGCTTCACCACACTCCAAGGCAGAGAGTTCCACTGTTAAACAGCTCTTAATGGTCAGGAAGTTCTTCCTAATGTTTAGGTGGAATCTCCTTTGCTGTAATTTGAACCCATTTCTCTGTCTACTTCATCACACTATAGAATGAATCCACTTTCTGCCTCCAGCAGAATTTTGGGGTTTGCAGTTTAGTGAGGCTGTTAAAGGCTCCTCCTTAAACTACAAACCTCAGAATTCTGCAGGAGGCAGAAATCAGATTTAAAGCGGATTCATTCTCTCGTGTGATGAGGTAGTAGTAGCCACCTCATTACACTAGAGAATGAATTCACCTTAAATCCTTTAAAGAGAATGAATTCACTTTAAATCTTCCAGAGCAGCAGAAAACAAGCCTTCTCTCTCTTCCTTATAATATCATTTCAAAGCATACCTTCTTATAACGTTTGCTTGCTTTTGGGAGTTACTGCTTTGTGGGGTTGATGGGAAGCTTACTGTATGCATACACACACACACACACACACATATACATATACACACACACAGAGAGATACATACACGCATACATATACATACATACATGTACATACACATATATGTATACAAACACACACACATACCTTCGGGCTGATATGGGGGATAGAAATAGCATAAATAAAATAAATAAATACAAACATCTCAAAAGAAAAAAAATAGTTTCCTGGAGGGGAGGGAGTATTATATCTATCTTTCTCATAGATATGACAGTTGTAGAGACAAATAGCTTCACAAGATTCAGGTCCAGGTCAGGATTGCTCACCAAATGAGGAATGTTTTAGAGGCATGTCCATCTTTTGTGTTGCTGCAGACTCCAGCAGGCATTTTGTAATGTTCGCCAACAGCTTTGTGCTGTGTACCGGCTTCTCTTTCTTGGATCATCAGGAGCTCAGGGCTTGTCTCGGAATGTGCTGGACCGGGCACAGCAGTTCACACGGTGAGTGAGATAGACCATGATAAGTGAACCCAGAGGGTTGGTAGGTTTCAGTAGCAGTACTAAGTTTGAGGTGGGAACTTAGTCAATATCAAGAAATACCACTTTAGGGCTCTCACTAATGGAGCTCTACTCCTCTGAAATCTTTTCCAGCCTGAGCTGCACTATGTAACAAAATTTGAAAAACAAAAAAACAAAATCCTGTTCCTGGTTTGAAAGTGTCGTTTGTGCTTAATTGTGTGGTACTAACTTTGAAAGTAGTGTTATACTCCAAAAACTTAGTTTTTGTGGTTGCCACAAATATGTTGAATTGGTTGAGACTCAATGAAGTATTAATTGAAAAACTGTAGCAAAATATGTTGCAGGATGTCCTGCAAAAACAAAAGTTTTGCAGTTTAATAAACCTTTTCCATGTTTGTATGATTGAGCCAATTAGAAAATAACACTTACAACCCAGGAACAAAAATCATGTCACATAGTGTAATACTTCCATCAGATGCTGCATTATTGTGCTTGCTGGATTGAGTTAGTGATACTTTTCCCACTGGAGTGTTTGGGGAAATGAATGGCATATCAGTCTTGTTGCCTTTAGTCCAGAACTTAGTTGGGATTGAACATTATTGCTGCAGCATAAGAAGGGTTGTATGCATAAAGCCATCTGTCTTTGACTTTCTTCCTCTCCTCACCTTAACATTGGCAGGGACAAGCTCCAAGACTGGAGAGACTTCCTCCTTGTGAAGAGCAAGCGTAATGTTACTATGGTGTCATATCCTTTCTGTCTCCATCTCCTGCTAACAATACCCTAGCAATGGGACTCTGGTGAAATGATTATGAAACACGGGAAGATGTAGTACCCCCAAGCCACCATTGAAGAGAGCTTCGGAGGAAAGTGTTTCTCTTCAGTAAAGTAGTCTTTAACACAGGAAATTCAAGTTTACCTCCAGTTATAACACTTTTCCTCTCAGGTCTGAGACTAGACGGAGTTGAATTTACCTGAGATCTTTGTTGGGAGCAGGTCTGCCTAAGTCACCATTCTGGAGATGAGTCTGTGGTTGTAAATGAGCAGGACAGAAAAGTACCCGTGTCTCCAGACAAATGTTAGGATGTCAAGAAGAGGGCCAAGGGAAGATTCTATTTTTTAATTCAGGAACAGTGAGGCACGCTCACTAGAATGTAATATTGAAATATTAAGATTGAAATATTAAGATTGAAATATTAAGATTGAAATATTTCTATGATGTGTAAGTGTCAACATTCCCTTTTCCAAGTCCCATTGGAAAGGCATTCATACCTCCAATCAGAACCTTAGCTTTCTTCCATCCACATACCTAGAGGACTTCCCAGGGCTTGTACACTTTATTTATGTGGACCGCACAGTGGGACAGATGGTAGCTCCGTCCCTTGGCACTACGGAGGATTCTGCTTCTGAACTCGGCAAGGGGCCCCTGCCGGCCTTCATTAAGGAGAAGGTAATGTTTCCCCAGCCCGTGTGACCCCTCAATCATTCCCCTTTCTTCCTTTGATATGGAAAGAAAGTGTCTTAACATGAAAATGTGTCCAGGATTGTGAATCTGGGTATGAGGAGAAGATTCACAACTGAGCTGTCCTCCAACACGTTCTTCTCTTTAATCCCTAGGTATGGTCACTGGTGGCACTGGCTCGAAGTTACTTGCAGAAGGGCTACACTACATTGACTATCCGGGATGGAGATTACTATTGCACCTACTTTCTTTGGTTTGAGAATGAACAGGTATGTGGAAGAGCTTGGAACTGAGACTAGATCTACACTCCCCTATATCCCATGATCTGATCCTAAATTATCTTCTTATCTCAGGTTATCTGACAGTGTAGACTCATATAATCCTGTTCAAAGCTGAAAATCTAGGATCATTACCTGAGATATAGGGTAGCGTTGATCCAGCCTGAGGGAAAGGGGGCAAGTGTAGAGCTGACAATTTCCTAGGAATCCAAGTATCGGGAAGGTCAAAAGTGCAGGTTCTGCTTCTGTCCCCTTTGACTAGAACTTGATGATCAACCAGCTGTGACGTGGGATGCAAAAAAAAGGGGGATGTCTGTATTTGTGGAATTTTGAAGCCAGGAATTTGCTTTAGAATTCCAGAACAGAGCTTGCATTCCTTACATGGAAAAAAATCTTTTGGTTACCCCAAAACAGTGGTTCTCAACCTGTGGGGTCCCCAGGTGTTTTGGCCTATGACTCCCAGAAATCCCAGCTAGTTTACCAGATGTTAGGATTTCTTGGAGTTGAAGGTTGGGAACCACTGCCCTGAGATCTCTTCATTTCAGCACTATGAGATATGGATGCAGGTCATGTTCTTCCTGTTTTTTTTAAGAGGTTAAATAAGCAATCCTTGCTGATCTACTGCAAATCATTACTGATAGATCTACCAATACAACCAGATGTATAATCCACCCATACTTGCTGTAGTGTCTAGGATTTTGGACATGGAGGTCCCGTGATCACCTGGCTGCAGTCACCCTAATGTACTTCACAGAGTGGCAATTAGGCAGAAGTATGACTTCTAGGAGAAAAGACATAATAACAATGCATTAAGAGGTTTTTAGCCCATTGATGGGAATCACATGACTTTGTGGCTGTTGGAGTCCTTCTTAACTTCCCTTAACAAAAAAAAAAACTTAGGGAAATTATGCTTCCCGAGGGTGCAGTTTTCTTTTACAGCAGGAAAAAATAGGCCAATAGACACATAGGAACGTACAGATTAAGTATCTGTTTCAGTGCAAAAAGAGGAAGCCTGTAAATTGCCTTGTAAAAACCAAAAGTAACATTCTGGGTTACTATCATCACACATATTTGGTGTATCCTATGATAGATCTGGGATGATGAAGGAAAACATCCCCCAACCCCAATTTGCCCACCCCAATTTTAATTTGCAAGTTGCCTATGATCCCAGTATTGTCTGAAACCCACTTGCCCTCCTGTCAGCTTTTGACTGGTGCCATGTTTCTGCAGGGCTACAAGCTAGAGATTACAGATGTGCCAGTGCTTTCTGATGATTCAGCCCCCATTGGAACACTGGCAGGTGACTACTACAGGTGAGCAAGAATTTTGATTCCATAGATAACCAGTGGAGCCCCTCGGTGGCGCAATGGGTTAAACTGCTGAGCTGCTGAACTTGTTAACTGAAAGGTCGCAGGTTTGAACCTGGGGAGTGGCGTGAGCTCCTGCTGTCAGCCCCAGCTTCTGCCAACCTAGCAGTTCAAAAACATGCAAGTGTGAGTAGATCAATAGGTACTGCTCCAGCTGGAAGGTAATGGCGCTTCATGCAGTCATGCTGGCCACGTGACATTGGAGGTGTCTACGGACAACGCCAGCTCTTCGGCTTAGAAATGGAGATGAGCACCCACCCCCAGAGTCGGACACGACTGGACTTAATGTCAGATGAAAACCTTTACCTAACCTAGATAATCAGTGGATTCAGAAGTGGTTTGTGGAGGAACTTGAGTCTGTCTGATTGTGAGAACCAAATTTTATAGTGCATCCAGCTGAGCTATTTTCTTATTCTAGGCCTGATCAGAATATTGCTCACATCGCTATCGAATGTTGCCTCTGACCTCATTTTACAGTTGTGCTTGTCTAGAGTTCACCTGCATGATCAACGTAGCATTGGAACTTTGCAAAGTTTATGAATAGATGTCCAAAAGAGTATGGGAGGCAGCCCTGTGACCCTTTAACCTGCAAAGTTTACATGCATATGCTCCAGTGCTTAGTCCTTTCCTGTCTATAGATCAAAGATGCCTCACATTTGCATGCTGCGGGCTCCTTTAGAATCTTCCTTATTTCAGTTTCAACTTAAAGACTAGCTCATTTTCTGACTTTCTCATTCAGGAAACTCATCCGTTACTACAGCAAGAGTCATACGAATGAAGTGGTGAAGTGCTATGAACTCCTGACCATCCACTTGGGCATCATGCCCACAGAGTATGTGATCCAGCAAGCATGTGACTTAGCCCGCCAACTCTGGGAGCCAACCCGCATTCCCCTGCTTTAGGAGTCTTGTTTGGTGCTTTTTTTGTAATTTGGGAATTTTCTTCCCCTTATTGTCTTCACTGCACTTTGGGTCTCTGCTGGATTTACTTCCATATTTGAACAACGTATTTTCACTCTGCAAAATGGGAAGATCTGCCTGTTTTTAACTCTTGTCATGCTGAATCAGATACCCCTGCCTGAAAGCTTGACATGAGACATGGAAGCTAATGGGACCAATGGCTTTTGAGATAGAGCTCCTGCCATGGTGTTGACGCTCAGGGAAATCCCTCTTCCACCTTCTCCTTGTGCAGATACTTTTGCAGCCTTCTCTACCTATGAAACAAATGTTCTTAAGCCATAACAATGATATGCCAAAGCCTGCCCTTGCCAAAAATTCCAGCCAATTTGCCACCAAAACATCTCAAATCACTTCGAACAAAGCTTTGCTTTGGGCTCTTATAAATGGAAGTGTCTCTGAGAACAGGCTGTTGGAACTGATGCCTGACTAATTTGGCAACATCAAGCTTGCACATTTTTTATCCTAAAGCAAAACCTGCAGTTTGTTATCCTAAAGGAAATGACTCTTCCCACAATGAGGGAAAAGGAATGTCTGTAGGGGAAGAAAACACTGTTTCACTGTTAAAACATACAAGATTTCACACGAGGTGTGATCAGATCCAAGGGAGGAAAGTATGCAGGCAGATTCTTTCCAAAAATTGTTTTGAATTTCTACTACAAGACGTCAAACAGAGTGGACTTGCACCTGGACTTCTGACCGAAATGTCAGCTTTTTGGTATGTGAGATGTTTTCTACCACTCAATACATAAAAGAGTGCTTGTTTCAAACAACGAGTCACCAGAAAACAGCTTTAAGATCTACCTTTTCCACACACGTATAAGCATTGGCAGGAAATACCAGGCATATTCCAAATACAGGATCTTCCTGAGTGGTAAATATATGTACTAAGTCAACCTCAAAATAGTTTTGTTAAAAAGTTATCTATGAACAAGGCATGCAAGTTGGTCTGTTTTGAAATGATAATGATAATTTGTATTTTTAAAGAAAACCAAATGAATAAGCTAAATGTACTGTAAATGGATGGAAATGTAAACTTTAGAAATGAATATCACACTGATCGTGATTTCTTTTCTACAGCATTTCATACACCATATATGAAACAAAACCATGTTTATTGATCAGCCAATTGGCCTTATCAAAACACACATTACAAACACAACGTACAGTACACAGCTAGACCAAGTCAGACACCGTATACAATTCTAACTCAGTGGCAAACAGGTTAAAAGAAAAGGTAAAGGTTTCCCCTTGACATTAAGTCTAGTTGTGTCCAACTCTGGGGTGTGGTACTCATCTCAATTTCTAAGCCAAAGAGCCAGCATTGTCCTTAGACACCTCAAAGGTTATTTGGCCAGCATGACTGCATTGAGCGCCATTACCTTCCTGTCAAAGCGGTATCTATTGATCTCACATTTTGCATGTTTTTGAACTGCTAGGCTGGCAGGAGCTGGGGCTAACAGTGGGAGCTCACCCTGCTCCCTGGATTCAAATCACCAACCTTTTGGTCAGGAAGTTCAGGTCAGAGGTTTAACCCGCTGCACCACTGGTTACTAATTTTATATTTATGGAAAAATGTACTTTCTTACACCTTGCAAGAAAGAACTGAGCATAAGTATTCTTTATATATTATTAAATTTTTGCAAAAACTTTGCACTGAATCTCAGCAGTTTGTGGATAGTGATCTAGACCCACGGATGGCTTCAGAACAAAAGGAGCGGGAAATATTGTTGCACACTCACTTGTGATTAGGAAACTGAAAAACCCAGCAGAGTAGAAAGCAAAGCTATTAAAAACCCATCCCTCCCCACCCCATTGTAGGACAAGATAAAGCAGAAACTCACTGCAGATATATGTCTGGTCTCTTATCATTGTAATAACTTCTTGGAAGGAAAACAAATGCTGTGAGATAATTCAGCACTGGAGAAGTATCGTTTTAATAGGAGAAGAGACATTACAAAGAATGGAGCAATGATGCAATATAGTGAAGTTTCTGATAAAATGGCAAAGGCAGAGGCCAAGGTTCTTCCATAACCTTCATCTGGAGGAACTGAGAGAGCAAATCGGTTCTGTTTGGAAAGAGATTTTGGAGCTTAAAATGCACAAAAAGTCCAAAAGCATAAGAGTAGAAATGTGTAATAATTTGAAGTAAATTGGCACTATCTTGTCATAATGTCTTAACAGATAAAACAACATTGACAATCATAATAAAATATATTATGGAACATGAATTTTGTAAAACTAAATTAAGATATGGTTTATAGCTAGTGGTGGTGACAGGAAAACTATTTCAGGAAGCTACTCAGAAAGCATTATGTGGTTGTTTGGTCTTTTGAGGATTTCGTACAAAGGAAAAATACGAAAACCCAGAAACATTACACTTTGACACCATTGGGAAAGTGGCATACAAATATTAACATTTGTATTCATATTATTGAATATTCAGTCAAATTGATGTGGCACTTTAGGCGACCACAACAAAATTTGAAAAATGTTCTGTTCCTGGTTGGAAAGTGTTGATCCCTGTTTAATTGTGTGGCACTTGAAAGTAGTTATAATACTCCAGAAACGTTTTTTTTTTGGGGGGGGGGGGGTTGTTGTTTGTTTTTTATCCTTCTATTACAGTTGTGTATGTGTAGGTGATTATAATTTCATGTTTTTATTGTTTTCAGTTCTGTGTATTTTTTATTTTATGTGTGGCACTTCAGAGTGCTTGTAAGCCACCTCAAGTCCCTTCGGGGAGATTGTGGTGGGTTACAAATAAATTTACTATTGTTATTATTGTTTGAAACACAAGAAGATTGGTACACAGCAAACAAGATCACTATGCTGGCTATTGCATTGTATCACACATCAGACACTTCCCAAGTGTCTAGGACTATGTGATGTATTGGTGAATAATACGTGCAGATCCCAGTAAGGTGGCCTTTTGCAGCTGACAGATGATAATTTTGAAAGCGCCGATTGTGTTTAAGTGCAGGCCAAGGTCTTTAGGTACTGCACCCAGTGTACCGATCACCAAGTCCTTTCAGGGAGATCGTGGCAGGTTACAAATAATTTATTATTATTATTATTATTATTATTATTATTATTATTATTATTATCTGAAATCCAAAAAATTGTAATTTTTCTTAATGAAAATATGTGGGGGAAAAAGTTTTCCATGTTTTTTATTATAGAACCAATTAGGAAATGACATTTATAACCCAGAAATAAAAACCATGTTACATAGTGTTATAAATGGAAAACCATACCAGCTTAACCCACTTTCCTAAAATTCCATTATGCCTTGTTTGGAAGCACTTGAATTCAATAAATATTTGGGAATAACAAGTTTTGTAAGAACCTTTCAGGACATAACATGTTGCTAACCCTACTAACAGTTGTGGTAGGTTACTTTTTTTTTTTTTTTTTGTAAATGAAAGACACGGGGAATTACTCTGGTAAYGCCTAGAATTAAAATGACTAGGAGATAGGAAACTAGCAAATACTTCAGGGAAAKGTGATGAGTTTGGAATATACGTGTCACCCAGAGCCCTTCCACACAGCCCTATATCCCAGAATATCAAGGCAGAAAATTCCATAATATCTGCTTTGAACTGGGTTATCTGAGTCSACTTTKCTATATATCCCAGTTCAAAGCAGAAAATATGGGAYTTTATTCAGCTGTGTGGAAAGGGAATCATTCATGATGCTCACYWGCTGATTGGTTTAATTTTTTAYCTTTCAGCCCAATCTATCCACCTGGATAGATTGGGCTGAAAGATAAAATGATAAAATTGGGGGAGGGATTTGCCATACATATATTGTTCTAGCTTATTTTAAGCAGACTAGAGCCAAAATATAATAAATGAAAAAATGGAATGGTTTGCTTTCTGTGGGTGATAGGAAATAATCTAACTGTGCTCCTATATTGAATATTGTGTTTTATGCTGAAAAGAAGAGAACAATGTAATGGGAATGTTAAGCAGCCTTTCTGGGTTTTTTTCTTCTGTTCTCTGGCTAACTATTTGTTTCATACATAGAAAAAGAGAGGCATTTGCGTATATTTTCATTAAAATGTAAAGTTAAGAAATATTCTTCAATATGAGAGAGACAATTGGAAAAGGGGAAGATAGTGAAATGGTCCAAAAACCGTTGTGTAACTGCACGCAGAGAGACAGTGAATTTATCAGCCTGGTGGAGGATATAATTACACCAGTAAATAGTAGGTAAAGGTTTCCCCTTGACATTAAGTCTAGTCGTGTCCGACTCTGGAGGGTGGTGCTCATCTCCATTTCTAAACCAAAAAGCCAGTATTGTCCATAGACGCTTCCAAGGTCAGTGGCGAACATGACTGTATAGAGTGCCGTTACATTCCCACCGAAGCGGTACCTATTGATCTACTCATATTTGCATTTTTCAAACTGCTGGGTTGGCAGAAGCTAGGGCTAACATTAGGCGCTCACCACATCCATGCATTAGCTGAACTTCTGATCAGCAAGTTCTGCAACTTAGCAGTTTAAACCACTGCGCCACCACAGCCCTAAATAGTAAAAGTAAATAGTAGAGGTTAATTATTCTTTGAATGCTTGAGTGAAAACCCCCAAGAGCATGCTTGAGCCTAGATCTCTCAGCCAATATTTAATATTTCTTGTGGTTGCCTAAAAGTATCACATCAGTTTCATTGATATTAAATAATATTACTACAATTTTTAATATTTGTATGCCACTTCCCCAAGATCAAATGGTGTCATAGAACAAAATATACCAACACCTAAAAAAAACATAAAGTCAATATACAGTAATATCCAAATATGATTGAGAATAAAAATTCAATCAACAATTCATTCAACTCACACAGGCTCCTTTGTGTGATGTTATTTTGTAACGCAAATAGGGGAGGATTTAAAGAATAGATGTATCCAAATGTTTCATGTGGGTGACACACTTTTGAGGCTGTTGGAAATAGCAACCTTCTCAAGCCTACACTAGTTATTTGTTATGCATATAATTGCTTACTGTACTATATATGTATATTGGTATGCAATTTTACTGTAACTCTTTGCAGACCATGTGAACTGGGCTTTTTCAGGACTCAGACTCCATTTTAGAAAGGTAGAAGCCATTAGACATTCAGTTGAGACTTCAGTAGGAATAGGTGTATGCCTTTAGAAGACTGTAGGAAATGTTTGTTTTGGAGGACTTAGGGGCTAAGATTGTGTGACTCATCCAAGGTCTCCCAGTGGATTTCCATGGACAAGTGGGAAATTGAATCCTGGTTGAAGTCCAACCTCAAACCAAGGTACACAACAATCAATATACATAGTTGCAATGTAAGATCATTTTTTTTCATGTTGTGCATGTGGGAGCAGTACCTAAATGTATGCAGTGCAGACTCGCCTAGATTACCTTCTGCCTGGCATATTTTTCATGCTTACCCTTTTCTGTGAATGTTTGAACCTCTCTTGAAGAACAGACCACTGTGAATGTTTGAACCTCCCTCAGTCCAGACAGAGATTTACCAGCTCAGTGAACACCAAGTTAGTCTTTCACAGATTTCTAAGATCCTTCACAGAGAAAATAGACTGCAAAGTTGATTCCAGATAAAACCTGGCCCATGAAGCACCATTAGCACAGCAGTACTCATGTCTGTGATCTTAAACATGGTTTTGCTTCATATTGTTGTCAAGCAATTTAGAATGGCTGTTGATAGTGAGATCCAAGCCACTGTGGGTTGAGCCTGGGGAGAAAAGAGAAGCCAATATTCCAGAATAAATCTCACCAAGTTGAAGCAGAAGCCATTGAAGTATTTATTTCTGTTCCAGCTGGAAAGGATGACAGCTGCAGTAATCTGCTGAAGAGCCGCCATGTCCAGTTAGAAGGGCAGAATATAAATACTGATGAGAAGGGTGGAATATAAATACTGTTAATAATAATAATGGTATGGTTGCTGATGACACGATAAATAAATAAATAATAATAAGTGGTGGGATTGTGAACTGGATACAAGCAGAGCTGGATGATCTGGATAGAAAAACAAGAAAACTGATGACAATCCACTACGCATTACATCCACATAATGATGTCGACAGACTTTACCTGCCCAGGAAATCAGGAGGCAGAGGGCTTATGCAAGTGAAACATACGATAGAAGAAGAGAAACATGCACTGGCAGATTATGTGAAAGGCAGTCAAGAACCAACAATAGTAGTAAACTGCTTAAAGTGCAAAAGACAAAGAGGGAATACCGTAAAAACACAATCCAGAGCAGAAGTGAAAACTGGCAAAAGAAGGCTCTCCATAGACAGTTCCTAGGAAAAACTGAGACCCAAATTGACAAAGACAAAACATGACTGTGGCTCACATGGAACTCTGAAAAAGGAGACAAAGGAGGGCCTGATTCTGGCAGCCCAAGAACAAGCTATTCGAACCAATGCCATCAAAGCCAGAATTGAAAAGTCAATGACAGATCCCAAGTGTAGACTCTGCAAGGAAGCAGATGAAACAATAGATCACATCCTCAGCTGCTGCAAGATTGTGCAGACAGACTACAAGCAGAGGCATAACACCGTTGCTCAGATGATTAATTGGAACTTGTGCCACAAATACCATCTGCCTGCGACAAAGAACTGGTGGGATCACAAGCCGGAAAAAGTTACAGAGAATGAACACGCCAAACTCCTC